CTGTATTTTAATAACAAAGCTAATTTCTGATCTGATGAAACACTCAGCTCCTGGCAGTGTGTCTCCTTAAGCAATTAAGAGATGTAGATATTTGGGCAAAGAAGAACGAAATGACCGTAAATGAATTGCAGTTTTCCTGCTATGAGGTCATGGTGGACACATTGCTTTTTCTTCTACAGAGACTGGTGTTTGGACAGATCAGATGTCTCCTGATTTTGCAAATGAACTGAAAATAAGAGCAGTGAGGTGGAGGTCTAATGATGTCATCACCTCTGAGCTTTTTTTATATGGAGCAAGACTCCTTCATTAAGAAGAGGATGTTCTGTGGAAGACACGAGTTTGGAGGGTTATTCCAGATCAAGAACCAGACGTGTCCCAGCCTCCTCGTCCCCACACCAGCTCCAGCTTACGGAAGCTTGCTTGGTGGCACATCCCTGGTGCCAGGCTGCTGAGCACCTTCCACAGAGGCTTCTGGCCATCCCACCTGGCCCTTGCTCCACGTCTTTGCACACCCATCACCCTCCCCCTCAGAGAGCTGTCACAGAGACCCTCAAGTGCTGACTCAGATGGGATGTGTCCCATGTGCTGAGCCTCAGCTAGAAAGGGCTTACAGAAAACAGACTGGAGTCCACATGAGGGCAGGACAACATAGGGGAGCAGTGTTCTGGCTTTGTGCCTCTCCTGGCACCACAACTCCTGAGCAAACCTGCCACAGCCAGCAGGAAGAAGGACAGGGCTGTTACCTGTCTCTGGGAGAAAGGCTGAAATGCTGCATGGGAAAGGGGAAGTGGTCCCCTCTTCCATGAGGGGACATGCTGAGGGATCACCTTTCAGGAATGAAGATTTCCAGGTCTGCTTCTGCCAGCAGAGCTGTCAGTGAGGGGTATGCAGTGGTTCCACCACAGGCTGAGGCTATAAAATCTCAATAAAGACATGCTTATAGCACCTTGCAGGTAACGGTGGCATCACACAGAGTCCTGGAATGCTGCAAAAAGCTCTGCTGGCCAAAGTGTAGTTTTGACAAACTAAGCATATTTTACACTGCTACACTCTCCTGACAAAGCACTTGTTTCAAACCTCCTGTTAGACTGCATGAACGGCCTCTTACAAACCTTCTCTTTCTTTCATGTGGAAAACAGACTCTGGAGCACAGAGGCAGACAATCAGTGGGAGAAGTTTGTATTGATTTTATCTCTTTGCAATGTATTTGGTTTTGTATTTATTTTAATTCCAGTGACTGAATATACTCCTTTTTTTTTCGTAAATTGTTGTGTTCACAGCTTTAAAAATGAAATTTATTAAATAACTATGATTAAATTAATTAACTATGAATAAGCTATGATGCTTATTTCTGTAACATGGCACTTGGGGTAATCTCAGATCCAACACTTTCCAGTGCTGGAGTGGCCGGGGAGGCATTTGAATGCTAATCCGAGGCATTTGAAGGTCTCTTCTGACCTTGATGAATCCAGGACTTGGGGATTGCCCTGGGCCAGGTGCAGCACCTGAGCCTTGGCCGCATTGAACCTCATGAGGTTCTTGCGGCCCCACTTGTCAAGCTTGTCCAGGTCCCCGTCGCCAAGCTTGTCCCTTGTCCCTTCCTTCCGTGGTGTCCCTGCACTGCTCAGCTTCCCATCCCCTGCAAACGTGCTGAGGGTGAGCTGGATCCGCTGTCTGTGCCATTGGGGAAGCCATGCAAGAGCCCTGAGGGACAGCCCTCGTCCCCAGCTCCTTGCCCAGCTGGTCAGAAGAGCAGGCTCTCAGTGAGCACTTGGTGGGGACAACGGGTGTGTCAGAGACTGAGAGGAACAGCAGGAATCTGACATGGATCATGAGCTTTCCCAATGGGGAGATGTTAGGAGCTACCAAGAGATCTTCAACTGGGAAAAGTCTCTTAAGCAAGAGCTCTCCCAAGGCGATGTCAGTAGCTGCGGAGAACTCTCCAGCTGGGATGAGGAAAGCAGGAGCTGTCCCAGGGACAGGCCTTTAGCTACCAAGAGTTTTCCATGGGGAAGAATGGAAGGAGCAAGGGCTGTCCCAAGGAGCAGTCGGAAGCTCCCCAGAACTGTCTGACTGAGAGGATTCTGTTGGCCAAGAGCTTTCCTAAGAGGAAGACTCCTTTGGCCAAGAGTTGTCCCAAGGCAACGGTAGCAGACCCTCTGTGCAGTCCCATCGGGACAATGATGGTGACAAAGAGCTCGTTCAGGACAACTGGGAACACGTGAGCGTCCACAGCAATGGGGTCAAGCCCTTGCTGCCGGAGAAGGACGTGGAACAAACTGAGCTTTGAGCTGAGTGAAGAAGAAGAAGACGGGGAGCAAAGACTGGAAGTTTTTGCAGAAGACGGGCTCCCAGTGCCTGTCCTCGGAGGCCTGGGTTGAGCGCGGGGCAGCTGAGCCGTGCCCCAAGTGCCGCTCTGGGCCTCGCCTCCCCCCTGGCAGCCCAGGGCCTCCTCAGAGGACCAAAAACTGAACTTTGAGCTGAGTGAAGAAGAAGACAGGGAGCAAAGTCTGGAAGTTTTTGCAGAAGACGGGCTCTCAGTGCCTGTCCTCGGAGGCCTGGGTTGAGCGCGGGGCAGCTGAGCCGTGCCCCAAGTGCCGCTCTGGGCCTCGCCTCCCCCCTGGCAGCCCAGGGCCTCCTCAGAGGACGGCGGCTTCTCCTGAGGAGCAGGTGCCAGAGGCAGGGACAGAGAGGCCGGTGCCTGCCCAGTTCAGCTGCTTTTTGTGCTTTTCCCAGGCGGCAGCCCAGGCCCTCAGGGAGCAGCCGGCTCCCCCCAAGAAACGCCGGTCCCGCTTCAGGCGGGCGCTACCTGAGGGCACAGCCGGACAATCATGGCCCGCTGCCAGCGCCAGGCCCGGCCCCACAGGTGCGGCTCGCCCGGAGCCTGCCCGGCATCCTGAGGGAGCCACACGGGGCTGCCTCTGCCTGGGCGTGTGCTCCAGACCCAGCAATCCTCAGCTGCTTTGCTTCCTGCCAGGGGCATCTCCCCAAGGCCTAAAGTTACGGTGTGGCCAGCCCCAAAGCTGCCGCCATGGGGGACAGTGGGTGCCGGGTGGCTCAGGGGTGAATCCCAGAGAATCATCAAGGTGGGAAGAGACCTTGGCAATCATGAAGTCCCATCGGCACCCCACACTGCCATCATCACCCTGAAACCAGGTCCCCAGGTGCCACATCTGGACAACTCTTCAACACTTCCAGAGATGGCGACTCCATCACCTCCCTGGACAACTTCTGCCAGTATCTGACCACTGTGTCAGGGAAAACTTGTTCTCCTATTTAATCTAAACCTCTCCTGGTGTAACGGAAGGCAGTTTTCTCTTATCCTGAAAGGATTACATGCTGGTCCTTTGGGATTGTGCCCCTGAGGAATGGGCATACACAGGAGGTGTTTCTCCAGGGACGTCACTGCAGGACTGCGACACAAATGATTCTTCCAAAACAGTGAAGGCTGAATTTAAGAAACAGTACTAGTAAGAAAAAAGAGCACAACTTCCCCACTCACAAAAAACCCAAAAAAAAAAAACCCTCCCAAAACAAACCAAAACAAAAAAACAATAAGAATAGGACTAAGAGTAAGAATAAGAATATGATGCAGAACTAATTGTAGTAAATAAGAACAAGAAAAGGAATAGGAACAGTAAGTTGAATGAGAATTATGAGAAGAAAAAGATAAGGAGATATAGTAGCAGTAGTAATAATAATAAGAAAACCAAAAATAGTAAGAAAAATAATAATAAGAAAAATAAATAGTAGTAGTAGTAAATAATAATAATAATAATAAGAAGATTAAACAGTTGTAAAGTAAATAATAGTATAAAATTAAAATAAACATCCACACGACCACAGAATGAAGGGAAGAACCTTACGGCTCTCAGTTATGTTCTGAGAACTAGAGTTATCTATCCAACTAGTTATCTTCTGCTCTCTCTCTCTGAGACCTCTTTCCTATTTTTTTCTACTGCTTTACCTCCTCTTTCTTGGTAAATAAAATCCATGTTAAATAAAATCCGTACATTGTCCTCATATGGTCTCCTTTGCACCTTCATTTGGGCAGAGGCCTCTCTCCCTCATGGGCTCCTAACACCTGCTCAGGGTCCTTCCAGCTGCCAACATTCCGGGATTCTGTCAGCTCCTCGCTTCCCTCTTCTTCTTGCCTCTGCTTTGGGCTGGGAATGTGCTTGAAATGTCCAGCAGCTCCCTCGAGAGACAGGGCAGAACCAGCACCCCAAGAGCCTCGGGAATTCCCCTCTGGCACCCATGGCACACACTGCAATGGTCTGGAATTCCAGTTTCCAGCAAGGAAAGGATGTTCCTACCCTTTAAGGCAAAGCTCTGAAGGCCAAGTGGAGCAAGACCTTGCAATGACATTGCATGACGAGCTTTCACAACTTAATCAAGGGTTGTTTTAGCATGTGGATTGGGAAAAAGAAAATCAGGCGAGGGTCTTTGGCTGCCACAGGTGAAGAGAGACACTATGAAAGAAACAGAGCAGGCACCTGCCCCATACCGACACCGAACCCCTCTATTCCCAGGAAACTGGGTGCCCCCTCCGTGTCCCCCCCACTGTCCGAGGTACCGGACACCCACTCCAAGCCCTTCCACCCCGGGCACCAGGGGCCCGTCCCGAGTCCTTCTACCTCGGGGTACAGGGCGCCCACCCTGAATCCTCTACCTTCGGGAACTCACCCTGCGCCCCTTTACTCCAGGGTACCAGGAGCACATCATGAGCTTGTCATTTCCCCAGGGGCACCAGATGCTCATCCCAAACCTCTCTGACCCCAGGGAGCACCAGGTGCCCACCCCAAGCCCGTCTCCCCGCTTCTGTCCCTGCCAACCGGCGCCCACTACCCCCACGCTGCTGGACATTCGCCGCCTGGCAACCGCCCCCGCGCTGGGCAGCGGCCAGAGCCGGCGCCGGGCCGTGCCTGCGGCCGGGGCCGGGCCCCCTCTCCACCGCCCCGGGGCGGGGACTGCGCCGTGGGCGGGCGGGGCAGCGCCGCGCGTCCCAGGCCCAGGGCAGCGCCGGTCCCTGCGCCGGCGCCCGCGGGTCGAGCGAGCGCTGCGCGGGGCTGCGGCCGCCGCTCCCCGCCGGGCGCGCCTTGGACGGGTCCGGAGTCGCGGCCCCATTATGGTCAGCCATGGCGTGGCTGCCGGGCGGGCTGGCCGAGCTGCGCTGGGGCGCGCTGGTCGCTCTCTTCGTGGCGGCGCTGGCCACGCTGGCCGTGTACCTGGTGCAGTACGCGCTGCTGGCGCTGCGGAGGGGCCGCCCGCCGCCGGCCCCCGCTCCGCCGGTGCAGCGGGACGAGCTGCTGGAGGAGGGCGGCTCGGTGCTGGCCTGGGCGCTGTCGCGGGGCAGCTGGAGGCGGCAGTGGCGGCGGGCCTGGGTGGCGGCGCTCCGAGCCGAGGCGGCGGAGCGGGCGGTGAGTGCCGCGATGCAGGTGATGGATGGGCGGCGGGACGGAGGCAGGGAAGGGACGGGGGATGGCCGGCGGCGGCTCCCCCGCGCCCGCCGGGATGGGGCCGGCGCCTCCCGGCCGTGGGGCATCGCGCCGGGACGCGGCTCCGGGCGCTCCCCGCTGCGAGGAGCGGCTGTAGGGACGCCGGGACTTGCTGCAGGGATGTGCCGGGTGTGTTCCTGACCCTCCGTGTGTGTGTTTGTATATTTGCACGTGTGGTGCTTGGCAGGGCTTACAGGAGGGAGCCGGCCGGAGGCACGGAGTGGGAGCAGGGAAGGATGGGGAGGAAGGAAAGCCCCGACCCCCGCAGCCCCTGGCAGGGGTTCGCGCCGCCGATAACATTGTTCGGGCGTGGGGAGGAGGAAACAATGGAAACTTCCTGGCCTGGGCCTGCGGCCCGTCCTTCGGCAAATAATTCCCAGAGCTGGGCTTCCCCCGGCATGCCTGAGGCCCTGCTGTGTGTGGTGTAACTCCGAGGGCTGGTGGCCGCCGAGCCCGCTGGATGGTGGATGGGATGCTCGGGGTTTGGTCAGGTTGCCTGTGCCCCGGGTCAGGGAGGATGCACAAAAGGTGGTGTTTCTTCCCATCCCAACCCGCCCTTCCTGGAAAAGGCTCAGTGTGGCATCCTGCGCGTTGGTGTGTGATGGTATGCTCTGTGAGGTGAGGAGGTTAAGTGAGGCTGTGGCAAGCTGATTTCCTTGTCCTGAGGACTGAACCCTTGTCAGGTCAGTGCAAAATGCTGAGCATAAACTCTAGGAAGTGGCATGTCCCCAGGTCTCTGAATTTGTGTGCATCTTAGACCTAAGAGGTTCCTTCTTACATGTCAGAGAGCAGGCTGGGGAAGAAGGAAGCGTGGGGCAACATGTGTGTGTGAAAGATAAGGAATAAAAATGAGCACTTCCCAAGTATCATTGTAAGTTGTGCAGTAGAAAGAAAATACTTTGTGCACCCTTTCACATGGCACAGTGCAGTTGAGAATAGAGTGGGCTGTGCTAGGAAATGAAGGTTGTTTTGCCCTGCACTTGTGGAGGAAAAGGATCCCGACAGCTTGAGGACAGGTGCTGGGAACCGAAAGTTAGCAGACACAAGTGACAGCTTCCTGTCCCTGAGCAGAGGGCAAAGCCCCTGGGACAGGGACAGGCACACCCTCCGTGCCCAGGTGAGCAGCTGGAGCCGGGAGTTCAGCGCCTGGCACTGCAGCGTGGCGTTGCTCCCGCTGTCAGCCTCCTAAAACAATGTCAGCAGCACGAAGCTAATGAAATTCCTGCGTGCAAAACAACCTCGGGTGATGAGGGAAGCGGGGCTGAGCGCTCCGTGTGGGTAGCAGGTGAAGAATGCAGTGCTGATGCTTCTGAAAGTATGACCTCAGTGCCCAAAGGCTGCCTCGCCTTGCTGTCTGTGTGACGACTGAGTGGCTGTCATCACTGTCTGCCTTCACTGATGAGGAGGGCTGGGCAGGGGAAGGCTTCTTTCCTCACCTCTGCAAGATGATATTTGGGGTTTCTTAGTTTTGGCATAGCTACTGCAGCCCTATTATTGGGCCAAACCAAACACACCTTTTCAAGCTGCAGCACTGATAAATCTTTGCTGCAGAACAGCAGTTTTGCTGGACCCTGTTGTCGTTCATGGACTTGGCTCTGCACTGTGTACCTTGATATTCTGCTACAGGGAAAGATGAGTTGTGATTAGGCCCATAGTTATGTCCTAAGTGTATGTTTTCAGGCTCTACCTGGTATTATGTAGTGAGGTGTCATGCAATTAATACGTGGAAGTTTTGACATACATTTGCAGTTCCAGGAACTTGACTGGCAGTGCATTTTTATCACTTGTTTTCAGGTGATGGGTTCATCACCTAATGATGCTTCTTTTTTTTCTTGTTAGGATTCTCAGTTGCTCACGTTTGAGGAAGATGACCCAGCAGAACCACTTGAGCTAGCAGTTAAAGAAGTTACCAGTATTGTAAAGTCAGCTGGAGAGAAGGTAAACTTTGGATTTGTTGCCTTTCTGTGTACTTTGGGTCAGGAAATGTTTTATTAGTGTGAGTGGAAAATTTATTTGTCAATAGATCTGTACCCTTGACCTGTGTTTGTCGAAGCAGGTAAGAGGCTGCCTTTCTAAAGAACCTGTGCAAACTCTGCATTGATTCACTTCTTCTGCATGTTGTGAGCAGAATGTGCTCCAGGGCTTCCTCCAAATGCACAATAAACCAGAGTTATGCCAAGTTTATAGCTACGCCCTCAGTGAGCTCATGGAGGAGCCCTCTCCTCCACCTCCACAGTCCTGATGATGTTTCCCCATCCTATTGCTGAGGTCTGCTGTGGGAACTGCATTGAGAAGAAGGAAATTTCTCTCCTGGGACTGGCAAACATCTTTGTCTGCCTCTTGCTGTTTGTGTGGCTGATGACAGGTTTGCTTCCTAAGAGTGAGCTGAGTAAGGATCAGTGGGACAGGTGCAGAGTCCTGAGGGTGAAGTCATGACTCTGCTGGTCCTTATATTCAGTGAGGAGCAAGTAATTTCTTTCCTCCTCTCCCACTGCAAATACTGGGAGGTGCTTCAGTTCCTGGGAAATTAAAATAAGGCAGAATGTGGCTCTTGGAACAGTAAAAATACTTAAAAAGGGGAAAAAAAACCCCTATATATGTTTAGCAATGATAGCTCCTGCATTTTTGTCCTAGTGACTGGTTACATTAGGCACCTGCATCAAATTAGCCTAATGCTTTTCTTTTAGTTTGGCTTTGTTATTTTGCTTTGCTCGTCTGATTTAGATGCTAAGCAGCTCTACTATGATTCCTTTGAAAACTATGCATGCTTATCTGCCTGATACACAACTTAGAGGCACACCCTGACTGGTGGCAGCTGGGGATTGTTAACATGTAAAGCTGTTTGTGTACTTATTTTCTCCCTTTTTAAAAAAAATTCTTTTCAGTACCCCTGATCCCTGCCTCAGCAGTGGGGCTGGAGAGACTGGGCTTGGTAGGGCTGTGGGGTTGGCATAAGTGTTAGTTATTCTGTGCCACTGGAAGATGCCATGATGGGAAACTGTAAAGAGAGGGCACTGCTAGGTCTGAAAGTGATGTGCTGTGTCATGTGTGAAGCCAGGACCCCAGGGAGAGCTGCTGCAAATAACAGCACAAAAAACTGCTGTCTTGCAGTGCAGTGTCTAAAATGCTGCTGGAAGGGACAAGCAGGGTTGGGTTGAGTCATTCCAGCATCTTAATCGAGGTGTTACACTGCAGACAGAAATCTGATGTGCTTTCAAAACAGCTTAGACTAATAGAAGCACATTTTAAAATTTATTGGAATAAGACGGGTTTGTTTTCATACACTGGGCTCTTCTGTACTGTGCCAAAACCCATTTCAATAGTCTTGTGCACAGTTGCTGGAAAAAGTACTCTGAATTGTTCTTACTCCTTTACTTAAGGTACAACCTGAATATTTATTTGAATTACAGGGTATAATAACCTTAGGGTGCAGTCTGGTAGCTACTTTTCCTTCTTCTTTAAATGCATTCCTTTCTCTAAACACCTCAGGAGTTCTCTTATATGATAATTGTGTCTTGTATTTCCTGAGGTGATACCAAGGGTGTTTGGTTTTTTGGTGGTTTTTTTTTTGGTGTTCTCTTTTTTCCCCGTCCTCTTCAAACTCTCAGTGTTTGCATGTGAAGACGAAATCTCTCTCTGCAGCTTGCCCAAACTCAAAGTTCTGACAGAAACTGGTGTGTGCTGCACAGTGCAGTGCTGCAGACATGGTTGGAATGCTGCTGCTTCTCAGCTTGGCCCAAGCTGTGGTGATAGGAACAGAGCTGCTCTGTGGCTGGAGGTTACACCACACTGCCCCGTGATAAAGCCTTATTTATGTGTTGCCTTCACCCCAATTTTGGGCCAGAGCCTAAATATATAGAATGAAGTGTCCTGTTTTCATTGTGTGGTATTGGTTGTTTTGTTTTAATAAAGTAAACATTAGAAATATTCTTGGTCTTAGCTTTTTCTGCCAGCCTTTCCATTAGTGTAGTCTATTTCCAGAGGACTTGAACTTCACAACAGAAACAGCAACAAAAAAGGCAATGAAAAAGAGGATTCTCTTGCTGGGGACTTGGCACAGAGGGTTGGATGGAGCAGGCTGTGACAGAAGTCTCCCTTTATTTTTCTGCTTCATACTCAAATGGAAAGGGGTTAAAATTCCTTCAGAGTGCCATTCCGTTAATGTCACTGCTGCACTCCTAACTGGGACCATTCCTGGTGTTTATTTCTGATTATTTTTGGTGGAGTGAACTACCCCAACTGTGATGTACAGTTCCTGTTGTCTTTTAACTCCCCATTTTGCTTCAAAAGCCATGCCAGACCTTTGCTGCTTTAATGACTGGGGTTTTTTTACAAGCCTAGATGGAATTATAGCCCATGGAGATTTTTTCCTTGGCTTTTTTTAGTTTTTGCACTAATATAATCCTTTCTTCTTAATATGTTTACTCTTCTTTCATGGTGCTTGCTGTCAGTAAATGTATTATGAAGGGATTATATTTCCTTCCAGCTTTTGTTAGTTTGCCTGCATAAGTTGCTCCTTAAATCTCCTTTTACAATACTGTCCTGTCTCCTTAGTCTCTCCTGTGCACCCACTCTCAGCAGCAGCTCCAATTAAATCCGTGTTTTTGAATTTGATGGCCGAAGGGCCACACAGCCCTACAGGTAAGATCTCACAATGCAAGGAGGCAGCTTCTTTTTGGCTCTGGAAGTACTTTCCTGGGGGGGTTTGGGCTCCAGTCTGCCTCTCCTGTGGCTGCTTCACACTATGAGTGCCTTGCTGCATCAAGGTCTCTCTCCCTGTGGTGCTGTCCTGATAATAAACTGTCCTTTTTGTGAGCAGGAGTTGTTAATTCTTACACACACACTCTCTAGGTATTTGTGTTGCATTCCTCTCCTGTGTTCAAGGTCTTTCAGCTTGCCTGTGTGAGGACCTAATCTTCCCTTATGTTGCTGCTTCCCAGCTTGCTTTTTTGAGCATCACATTTTCTTTCAGGTGTTTCCTGAGGTATTTTGGACTTGTAACTATGTGATAGGTCTGGTGCCTGAGAGAATCTTTGGTAACCTATTTCCAGCTTTCACCTCCCTGCTCACTGCACTGTCCTCTCCCTTTCAAACATCCCAATCCACCTTAATGGGGGAATGATGGAGTAAAAGCTTAATTGGTAGTGGGATGAACCTACAGAAGTAAAGAAGACAACATTATGATCCAGCCTTCTTCAGAACTGAGTGCCTGGTCAGGGGAGGACATTGGGGTGGGGTTTGTTTGCTTCACTGGTGGTGATCCTGGGTTTGGCTCTGTCTTCCAGCTGCTGCTGCAGATGTGTGTGAGCCTCCTATAGGCTTGTGCTACATCTGCCAGCTTGGCACAGGGATCAGGGAAGCTTTAGCACCTTGAACTGTCTCTACAAGTGAATTACTGTCCAAGCTACCACAGCACAGACTGGCAAACCCCTCCTAGAGTTTTCTGTCTCCTCTTGGTCTCTGTGTCTTCAGCTGTGCTGTGTCTCAGATGATTTGGAAAGGCTTGCATGATAGTGAGGCCAAACTAGCAATTCTACTTCTGGTATTGATTTGTATTCCCCTTTCTGAAATATAAGTATTGCTTCCTGTCTTTGCACTGTTTGATGTTCATAGGTGGATTGAAAATCTTTCCTGTCCTGTCTCCTTGTACTCTGCTTGTTTATTTCATTCCCTCATTCCCCATTTTTTCCACCTATTTGAATTTGAATGTGTTGGTCTCAAAGGAGTGGATAAATTCACATGTTCCATCAACTTCGGCTTTGTTTCTGTTGCTGACATGGAAACTCTCTCTCCTGCACTGAGTCCATCCCTCACCCTGCCTTCACCGTGGTGTTTATCACCATGTGGAAAACTGGTCTGAGGTTTTCACTGTATTTACTGGCAAATTCAGTTTGATACTGGCTCCTGAAAATCCACACCTGCCTGTGCCTGGGTTAGACATTGCATTTGTCATCTCCCCTTCATTTGCCCTGGTCACTTTGTCAATTGTTTGGGTAAAGGAGTGGAGAAGAAGCTGGAAAAACCCCAGAAGAAATGAAGGAATTGGCTCTGGTAACCAAGGAGATCATGTAATTCTTCTAAACAGCTGAGTGCTAATGACTGTCAAAAGGCAGAAGTTTTTGACTTGAAAAATTTTCCTGTGGTGAGGTTTTAAGCCAAGCACACAAACTGTCTGTGTGGCCATTGACAAGATAAGTTTTCCATGCCAAAAAGAAGAGCCTTTTCATAGTAGAGCCCTGTGAGACAGATGGGAAACTGTGAGGGTCCTAAATCTTGCAGTGAGATCAAGGCAGCTTTCACTGTGTGGCTGCCTCAATGTTAATTCTGATTCTCTTGTGAAAATGTTAAATATTTGTATTACTTACATACTACTGAGTAACCTCAAGTAACCTGCTGTTTCTGGAAGTAAATACCAAGTGCAGTAAAAAGAATTTCCTTCTAGAAAGCAAACAGAAAGGCAATCAAGGCCCGTACTGCTGGGGGTTTTACAAACACATGTGGTGTGGTCAGGGCTTGGGGAAGGTGAGGTGTTCTCCATCAGGGCTGTCAGAACTTCCCCCTAAGTCACAGCCAGGGAGGAAACCTGCTGCTGCACTTGGGGAGGGAAGAGTAAAGAAAAGGGAACATGTAATGCACAAATTAATGGGGTGCCAGTGCCAAAACTGAAACCTCAAGGCAAGAGGGCACCATGTGTGAGGAGCAGGGGCACCATGGTGCTTCTTGAGATGAAGCAGCTTCTGCTGCTACTTCAGGAAGGGAAACTGAGATTTTGAATCCTGTCCAGAGGAACTGCAAAGGGAAAAAGTCTGGATATACAGGGGGAGGGCAAAGTGGGGGAAGGGTTTTAATAGCTGTGAGTACACAAGTTCGGATACTTGACTTTCTCAGAGAAATAGTCTGGCTTGAACTACAGTGCTTTTTCAGTCTCCTGTGTTCCTGTGGTTTCTTATCTGGAAGATAATAATTGCTTTTAGGATAATTGTACTCAGAGTTTTAGATATGTGTGCAGGTTGTGTCACAGCATCTGCAGCTCAGTGGAGCTGGGTGCCAGCATTTTGCATGTGGGCAACTGAGCCCAGCCAGGTCTGGGAGTTTTGGCCACTGCAGCTCATCCCATGATGAGGATGTCAGGTCAGGGATGAAGAGGAGAGGCTGGAAACAGCAGGAATAACCCTGGCAGTGGGTGATTTAAGTACCAGCTGTGCGTGGGGAGGGATGGCAGAGGACTGAGGAGGAGCAGGGACACAAAGGTACCTGAGGAAGGGCTGGGAACCCCTTCCATGGGAGATCCCCAAAGCACATGGAGAGAAGGGTGTTTGTTCCAAGGGAGGTGCTGGAGGCAGAAAATACCTTGGTATTGGTTTCTTTGTGCTGCTACTTCACCTCACCCTATTTCTGCTGATTTAGGAGATGTGTCTTGCCCAGAGGTAGGATCACAAGAGGAGCTGGGGGTGACCCCTCTGGGGGCTCAGAATCAGCTAGTCCCAGCTGCTGTGCAGGGCTTGATTTTTGAAGAACAGTTTGTTAGAAAAGTGACAGGTGCCCAGAGGTAGGATCACAAGAGGAGCTGGGGGTGACCCCTCTGGGGGCTCAGAATCAGCTAGTCCCACCTGCTGTGCAGGGCTTGATTTTTGAACAGTTTGTTAGAAAAGTGACAGATTTTCTAGACTCTAAAACACAAAGGGTTGATAACTAGGGATGTCTCTGGTAAGGGGAGTGGGAGAGAGAATGAGGAATATAAATGAAATTGAAGGAGAACTCTCTTCCTATCAGTCCAGGTTCCTCTGTTTTCTTGTGAACACCTATCCTTCCTCTTTCTCCTCCTGCCAGCAAGAAAGGGCTGCTTTGCCTGGCCCTCCCTTCTCCAGCTCTTCGTCTGTGCAGAGAAAATGAATTTGAAGAAGCAGGCTGGAACAAGGCAGGGGGAAAAGGAGCACGGGAAGCTTCAGTGTTTTTCTTTGTGTGCCTGCCATGGGGGAAGTGGCCTACATATTTCTGCTTGGGTCTATCAAAATCACCTGCTACACTTCTAAAGGAATGTCACTCAGCAAGGGAAGCAGCAGTTGCAGTCTCTTTAATCACCTTTTCACCACTTGTGGCAGCATCAGAGATGAAAACAAAGCCGCTTTCTCTTCAAATTCTAGCCTAGAATTCTGCTTCTCTCAGCATTCTGCCTGCATCATCCATCCTGCTCCCACAACAAAGGGGTTCACCTGACTTAAATACATATTATTTTCCATTTATAAACATGGAACCACTCCTTTTGATGATTGGATTAAAAATTGGCAGGTGGCTGTATGTGAGTGCCACAATTTTTTTAGTAAAAGTGAGGGCAGAAGGGGAGTAGGGCTTAGTAGATGTCATTGGCAGAAAATAAATTAATCAAGGAGACTGAAAGTCCAAACTTCACTGGTCTGGCTTTGAAATGAATGGTAAAAATACACATAAAACACTGATTTAGCATCTCTTGACATAATGCAGAAAGAAAAATGAAAGTTCTGCCACCTGCAGTGTGTGTTTCCATCCTTTACTTGGAATTAAACATGATTAAGAAATAAGTGGCACATTCAGTTGCCAACTCTCTGGCCACACTTTTATTTCTTTTAAAAACATTAATCAACCACGTACCTGGCAACCTTGGCTCTTGGACATCCAGAAATTCCAGATTAATGGCTCTGCATTGCGTGTACAGCAAGTCCAACTTGTTCTGAATGCATTGAACTTCTTATGGACGTGTGGAAAAAACCTGTATGGATGATAAAACACTTCATTTAGGATATGGAAGTGGCAGCAGTTTTTTGCATCAGACCTGTCCTTTTTCTTCCTTTTTCCTCAAAAAAGAAGGAAGAACCTTTTCCTTTTCAAAGTCTTTAAAGAGTCACCGTGTCAATCTGAATGAAGGGAGAGATTCTGTGTTTCATCTCAGCTACAAGTAAAACAAGCAGCTGGAAGCAGCTGGGCTCTTTGTTCTTGTTAGCTATTAAAAATCCTTTCTATTTTACCATAATACTGGGTGTTGGTGTTGTTTGTGTGGGATTAAGGTCACAAATCACTTCCGAAGGAATCTGCACTTTGGGAAAGGGGAGAGGTGAGGAAGACTCATTTGTCCACTTCTAAACTATAATTTGCAAAGATAGAACCTGAAAAGGCAAATCTTACTGCTTGTGGGTGTGGTTGGGATTTTTATTTGTCATATCCACCTCCCCACCCCCTGCTCCTTTGTAATTAAGCCTCTACCTTAATGGATGTACTCAGGCCCTTGATAAAGCCCTGGCCATCCTTAAAATGTACCCCAGAGAGCCCAGGGAGATGAAATGTATTTAAGGAGAGACTGATAAGGATCTTCAGGAGTTACATGATTCCTCTCAAAGCTTTCAGCTTCAATTCCAGTGCCCTTAAGTGGAGCAGTAAGTGCACAAACACAATTTAATAGCAGCATGCAGAGTTTTTGTCAGACAAACCTTGCAGGGAATTATTTGTCTGTGCATTGCATTGACCTGGTTCCCTCTGCCTGAGTCAGTGGGGACAGTAACCACAGAGGGACAGTGACAAGCAGCTCTCCTCCACCAGCACATCTGTTTGCAAAACAAACATGCCTCTGTGGTGTGATTAATAATTTCTGACTTCCACCCCATGGGCTTTCCTGTGCTGCCAGGAACCCTCCAGGAATTTCTGCACACTCCAGGAATTTTGCATGGCAGCTCCAGCAGCTCAGTTTGCAGAAGGGAGGGAGCAAAAACTGTCCACTGTTTACAAACTCAGTGTGATAACAAGTTAAATTACTGCTCCTAAAAGTGTACTGCAGTCAAGTGGCACTCAGACTTTTCCCAGACATTTAGCTTTGTCACCACATTTCAGGCTTTCTTCGTTTGGTCAAAGGTTTGAATAAATTCTTAAAGGCTCCTGCTCCTTCTTACCCACTGAGAGCTGGAATTACTCAGACAGGATCTTCTGCTGTAGCAGCAGGTTTATTCCAAAGTTTCACATTTTCTTTAGTTTCACTAAACTAAAGATTGTGTGGTAAATCAGCTGCTGCTCAGAGCAGAAGAGGAAGAAGAACAAACATCTTTGCCCTCTTGGAGCTTTTAATACTCTATGTGTGAAGTGGAAAGGAGTCCTTGTCAGACAAGGAGTTACTTCTGAATTAGGTAACAATACAAAAGAAATTTTGGGAAATGCCATAATTTGCAGGTGTTCGATTTCATGTACGGATTTGAACACTTGAACTATGTGCTTTTAGAAGAATTTGCAGAAGGAGGTGGGAACATGAATGAAATTGTCTAGAAATTTCCCACTTGTACAACTTAGCATAATTCTGCTAGCTTAAATTCCTTTCTTATTTTCTTTCTTGCCTTCACCAGACCTTCTGAAGACTGAGTTGTTTTTCCCTTCATTTCCTCTCATGCTTTTCTTTTCTCCAGGTGGTTTCCTGCAATGTTGTGGGGGATTCTGTGAAATTCCTCGTTGCTGTCTCAGCCCCTCCGCCCGCGGCTGCCGAAGCTCAGTCGTGTTTTGTGAAGCTGTCCCCAGTCCACCTGCAGGTAAAGCCTTAAGTGCTGTTCTCTCTTCCTTGCCTTTTGTTTCCCCTCTGGGCCAAGTGGTAAATACAGAAATTAAGCTGCCTCTTCAGGAGACTGGTTAAGTAACATGTTGGGTGGACTACTTGGATATCTAGAACAATTCCCTTTTTTGACTGGCGTGAACTCTCAAATCTCAAACAACTTCTGCCTCCTTAGAGTGTCACTTTAAAGTTACCTACTCAGAAACTGGTGTAATTCTTCCTGTGCTGAGCCTTAGCATGGAGATTGACCTACAATTTCCTTACAGCGCACCACAACAACTCTCCAATAACTCTTTTCCTGTCCACAGCTTCAGCTCTATGTGAAAGACAAAGGAGAAGATGTCAAAGTTGAGTGGTTCCTCATTAACACCGATGAAATCAACTTTGAAATCCAGCCAGCAGTGCAGGAGGTCAGTCAGTTTTATTTGTTGTAGTGGTAGAGCAGATGAGTCTCCATCCCCTTGGTCCAAAATGTGGTGTAAAGCATCTCCCATGGATCATCTATCAAATCCCTACACCTCTGAAACCCAGCAACACCTCTCAAGATCACTGAAACAAGTCTGTATTTGACAGACAAATGACTTTGCAAACATCTTTCATCCAAATTCAAGGTGTGAAAAATGTCTGTTCCTAAATATCTTCTCTCAGAACACTTCTAAAATAATAAAAAATCCCCAGTTGTAGTGGTATTTCCAACAAAGCAATTAAAACGTTTCTCCTTCCCTAATTGAAATCAGTTTTGAAGTCTGGCAATGCATCAGAAACAACTGTGAAAAATACAGTTATTTAAGGAAATGATGGATGATCTAAAAATACTTTGTTGCTTTTGGAGTTGCACCTGATCTTTGTGTGTATGACACTGATTCATTGGGCCATCCCCTGCAAGAGTTCCATCTTGACTTGGATTCTCTTCTGCCTTTGACCCTTCACAGTTTTTATTTTTGGCACAAATGTGGTGATTTAACTGTTTCCTACAGCTGTGGGGGAAGACTTATTTATGTTTTGTGAAGTTGTTTTTTTTGACTGAAGGCCTTGTTAAAAAATAATTTTATTGTAGAGCTGCTTCTAAAGACCTGTACTGAGAGAGCTACAATCACAATAATTTATTACCACAGCTTTTGTCTATAAAAATGTGAAACTCATAACTAAAGACAGACAAGCCTTTTGAAGTGTGTTTTAATGTAGGTTTTACCATGCACACGCAGCATGTAAATGACCTTCATATGCTGGGGTGGCATGTTGATTATCCACATTTGAAGAGTCATTAACTATTAAATCCTTCCTGACAAACACAGATGACTCTGGTGCAGTCACTGGACTTCACAATCAGCTTTTTGCTGGGTGCCCAAGTCCAGCTTTGCAGAGTTGCACCTGTTCTGCTTTGCCTGCATGTTTAGAATGAGCCTGTTAAGTTCTTTATTCGTTGGAGGGCTTTATTTTCACTTTTGAAGTTTGTATTAGCACTTATGGAAGAGGAGAGGCAATAAACAAAGGGCTAAAGCCTGTGAGCAAGCTACACCTGAGAAATTGCTCCAGCTCCTAAACTTCAATGTCAGCTTTTGTGTCTTGTTTTCTTCCTCCTTCAGAAGCAATACTGTGTGTACAAATAAATACCTCTAATTACTTGTGATTATCTGCACGGTGGTTTTGACATCACACAAGCTGGGTGTAATAACCCATTTTCTCTTGGTAATGGCTGGGTAAACCTGAGTTGTGTTGGGCAACCTGGCTGACTGGTAGGGTTTGGATTTACACAATTTACATCATGTGCTGGTGTGCCCCAGGCTGGCTGTGATGTACGCCCCTAGCCCAAGTCAAACCCAAAGTGAAACCTGTTGTCTTTATCATTTTGGGGTGGCAGTTAAGCCATTGTGGTTTGTCTTGTTGAGGGAGTTGTGGTGGAGAGTAACTTCCCAAAAAAAGGATGGCTAAGAATGAGCCAGAGCTGACAGGAGGCTCTTTAATCAATCTCCTTTCCAAATAACTATGGAAACAACAGCAAATACCTATGAACAAGAGTCCAGTGACTGAGGTTGCTGTTGTTACTGTTAAATAACAGATGTCACATTAGGCTGATGGCAAAGCATGCAAGGCAACTGGGATTTTACAGTTTGGGTAAGAGCAGGGGAGGGAAATTACCTCCAAAACAATGAAGACTAACCATAATTTATCTGCTTATTTAAGTGACTTAAGTAATGAAATTGCTGTTACTGAGGCTTTAAAAAGCCTAATTTACTATGATCTTTATTAAAGTGAATGAGTATTACCTGTTTCCTTGGTGGTTATTTGAGGGCACAGGGTGTAAATGCAGCAGATTTTTGTGGGACTGGCCAATGCTGTTGTGTGTTTTGAACGTGTCATCAAAGGCCAGTTAGGTAAGAAGGCAGTACAACAGTTTCTGTTTCTGTTCACAGCATTCCTGGGATTTTTTGTGAAACACCCTGAATGTTTCTGTAACACCTGGGTAGCTGGGAAAGGCTGTTACTGCCAGTCTCTTTGACATGTCATGCAAACTGCACATCAGTGAAGTCTCTCAGTGTGGTATCAGATAAAAAAAGATGGATGTATCCTCTGTTTTTAGGTCAGATCTTTGTCTGCTACTTCAGTCTTTCCTTTAGAAAAGAAACCTCAGTGAGATTTCAGAGCTGTTGTGTTTCAGACCGACCTTTCTGGGACAGCTTGATTTTAAAATCTGTGCCCTGTAGGTACCTGAGCAGACAGAAATTCCTGAGGAGCCTGCTGTGAAAAGCAGGCATTCTCCAGGAGCACAGGCAGGGCAGGGGCAGTTTAGTCCCTTCATACACCTTAGAATTAATCATGTGAAGCTCCATGTGTGTGCACAAAGTCTGTGGTGTGTTCTGACCCCTCAGAGGTTGTGGTGCTAAGCACAGATGGCCGTGAGACTTCTTTATGGGCAAACTACAACTCAGTGCCCCAGAGCAGCACGGCTCTGTCCATATACTGCACTTCTCAGCAAGGCTGAAGACCTCCAGGAGATGCTATAATATTTTTTTCAGTGCAGCACAGGATTAGTTTCTTCTCAGCTGCTGCAAGCTGGCATAACTCCCATTAAATCAGTGGAACGCTGCAGATCTGCTTATCTGATGACCTGATCTGCTCTCTCAGGGGGGTACAGAGCAGTGCAGAATCTTTAAAACACCATCATAAGATAAAAACTGTTAAAGAAACTTCTGGTTTTGTGGCTAACAGCTGTGTCTTCCTAACTCTCAGAACAGCATGAGTTTTTCAGTGTTTAATTCTAGCTTTCCTTTAATGCGTAACAGAGAAATTTAAGTAATTCTTTGCATGATCTGTTGTTAAATTCTGTTGTTGGCAACAGAAACCATGTGTCTCTCTCTGACAGAGCTAATGTTAGATGGCTTTGGTGGTTTAGATAAATACCAAATTAATTTTTACCTCAACTTCTTCTGAGTTTTGAGAAGCCTGGTTGTTTGTTTCCTCATAGGGACAGACAGCAGGGACATGTGCAATATCTGAAACGCTCATAGATGTCTTGAAGAACCTCTTCAGCTCAGCTTCTCCATCTGTAGAGTTGAGTGTGAGGCCTGCAGATCCAAAGGAGGTTCAGGTAAGGCTCATTCCTTCCAAAATCTTTTGAGAAGTGTCCTTCATGCTTTTATTACATATTCATGACTCACAACTGAGTAAATTTGAGAGTGTTCAGTGACAAGAGCTGGGACACACGTTTAGAACAGCACAGCCCGTGGCAGTGGAGGCTTTGTGGTCCCACCTCCCGCGTGGCTTTGTTGGTGTTCCAGCCCAGCTCACCTCTGCTTCCCTGTGCCAGCATGGCACCAGGCTTTGGTGCTGGCATCTGCACAGCGCCCCTTGTCCTGGTTGCCTTTTGCAGAATGTACAGAACACGAGCCTTCTCCCTCAGGGCACGAGTCCTCCCAAGCCTCCGAGGGCTCACGACCTGAAGCTGCTGGTGAGGAACATCGCGGTGAAGCCGAGCGATCTCCGTGCTGCAGGTACCGCACCCCAGGGCTGCTGCTGCACTTCAGGCAGCCCTGGGGTGGGTTTTCTTACTGTCCTTTCAGCTGAGGTAATGTGGAAGTTGTGGGTTACAGCCTGCTCTCCAAAGAAATTTCTGTGTTCTGAAGAAGATTTCATGGAATCACAGAATGGTTTGGGTTGGAAGGGACCTTAAAGCTCATTTCATTCCACCCCCTGCCATGGGCAGGGACACCTTCCACTGTCCCAGCTTGCTCAAAGCCCCATCCAGCCTGGCCTTGAACATTCCCAGGGTCTAGGCAGCCACAGCTTCTCTAGGCAACCTGTGCCACTGCTGACTTCATGTATATTTTGGTTTATCTGAGTATTTAAACATCTTGTTCTTCTTGTACAGAAATCCATCATTGCTGAAAACAGATTGAAATGACCACATGTATAAAGCTGGCTGATTATTTTCTGGCTTTTAGTTTTAATTTCTAAAAGTTCTCACTTTGGCTGTACCCAAGATGAGGGGCTCAAATCCAGCTCTCCATTAGCTGCTGGCAATGATGTTGGCTTGATTCAATGTTACCTTATTATTCTTTTCTTTAGAGTGATTTGCAGATATATCTCAAACTCTCCTCCTGTATTAGAAACTCCTGAAAGATTTTTTTTTGTTGTTGTCAGGGATATTTTCCCCTGATGAAGTACCTCTGCAGGTAAAGAAAGAAGGTGCCTCTTGCAAGTGGAGAATGAAGCCAAGAAAGAGGTCACTGCCTGGTGGAGTTAGTGTTGGGTTTGGAAAGCAGCACCAGGCCTGTCTTGCAAGGCTCAGACTTCTCCAAGTGCAGATTGAGGCACAGCTCGGATTCTCTCAGCAGAAATACACATTGGAGGCTCTGTTTAGTTTGTGGCCATTAAACAATTCCATAACAGGATTTTTAATGGAAGCTTGTGGCTGCTAAATTAGGCAAGGCAGTAGTTTTAGATAAATATATCCTGCTTGCTGTTCTCCTTTTTTTCAGTTAGAGGTAATAGGTTTCTGCCCTAGAGTCTTGTGTAATGCTGCTTCACTCATCGTGGTTGGAAGTGATCTCCCTAAAAATCTCTGCAGAGCTTTTTTTTTTTTTATAAAAAGGACCAAATTATTTTTAAAGCAGTTCTGGAACTCTTGGCTGTAAATGTCCTTTATCAATAAAATATGTTGGCAACTGCAACCCAGTTGAGTGGAAAGTGTCCCAGCCCACAGCACGGGGTTTGGAATGAAATGAGCTTTAAGGTCCCTTCCAACCCAAACCATTCTATGATTTATTATTACTCTACAATTTTGTAGTGCAGACTAAACTTTCCAAAAGATTGGGTCATTTTGCCTCGCTTTAAAAGTCATGAGATGAGATGAGATATCTTTGTGTGCATACAGTGCATAGAACAGAAGATTCACCTTCTGAAAATCACTGCACCTTCCCAAAAAACAAGAGGAAAAAGAGACAATTCATGTGCTCTGCTCTGGGAACACAGCTGTTGGGAGGCAAAATCCCCATTTGCCATTCTAACAGGAGATGGAGGGAATTTTGCTGGTTCCCCAGCAGCTCCTGAGGTGTAAACATTTGGAGCTGAGGATGAGAAATAAAGCTTCATAATGGGGTTTAATTGGTACACTTGAAATCCAGTGAGAATCCTGCACAGCTGGAAAGGTGCTGGCTTCTGGACATAACTGGACATATTTTAATTAATATTCCCTTCCCTAACATATAATGAATAATGAATTATCCTGTGGGAACCCAGGCTCCATGGGACTGTGCAGTATTTCAGGCACAGGGGGCTGGGGAGGGGCAGCTTGTCCATGCTGATGAAACCATGGAGGACTGGTGGATGCTGACAGGGTTTACAGGAGCTCTGGCTCTCCTGTAGATATCTTAGTTCAGCTGGTGAGTAGCCAGTAGCAGAACTCTGGTCCCTGTTTTTATCTCCTTAGTTTGTGTATGTAAACAAAGGTCACCCTAGATTTTGTGCTGCGTGCTCTACAGGGAATCACTTAGGGCAAAAGTGATTTCTGCTGGTGAGGAAAAAGCAGTTAATTGTTTACAGCAGGGCAGAAAAGCTGCAGTAGCCTGTTGGGTACAGCTGGTTTGTGGTTCAGGTGTAGTTCCAGGCAGGGCTGTGCAGGGTCCCTGCCCTGGGCTGGGGACGTGGCAGCAGGACCAGGCTCAGAGACACTTTCTGGGGGAGCAGAAGCCAGCCCAGGTCCGTGAGCTCAGGCTGAGCCCCTGTGAAAGCAGCTCAGCTGCTTACTCTGGGGTCAGCTCGGATCCCAAATAAGCTGTGTGTACACATGCTTTGTCTCCTCTAATCACCTTGCCGAGCCCAGGCTGCCTCTGTGCCTGAGGTAGGGCTGATCCACGGCCCCAGAGCATCCCCAGAGAACAGCTGAGAGCTGCTCATAGCAAATACAAACCCAGATTCTTCTGGAGAACTGCGGGCAGCATCTTTTGTTTGCTTCGCACGCAGTCAGTACTGAGCTTTTTGTTGCTTTCCTTGATGTGTTGCAAGTCTGGGCTTAAATTATTTCTGATGCTGTGAAAGCCATCTTAAAGAAACCGTTTTAAGAGGAATACATCAGGCAAACTGTTTCCCCTTGGAGCAGCAGTAGAACTACTCTTAATATGCCAGTTTGCAACACTGTCAAATTCCGAGATCAAGGTAGAGATAAGTCTGCAGCAGTGCTTTAAAACTTGTTAAAAACCACAGTGCACAAACCGCTGTGAATTAGCACTGCTGTCATCAGTCACTTGCCAGCAGAAAAAGCTTATTTTCATGTCCAGATAAACCACTGTGACTGTGGCCAGGAGGAACTTAGGAAACTTCAGGGTTTTTTAAGCAGCTTGTAAACAACTTTACTCTCTGCCCACCTCACACCCACAACATCACCTGCTCACTCTTTGTCTCCCCATCTTTCTGGATCGTTCTTTGCCTGCGTTTTGTTGCTTCATGGCAGGATTTAAATGGGGCTGTCATGTTTCACAGTGTGTAGGGTAGTTCATAAGACAGCAGTGATGCAATAGTGACCTTTGCCATGAATGTCCTGGGTGTACAAACCAAGGGAAGGCATTTATTCTGTGGGAGGGTGAGAAAGTGTCTGCAGAAGTCTGTTCAGCAGTGCAGTGTGCAAGGAAAGGGTTTTTTTTTGCAGTAAGTGGCCTCTTGGTGACAGAGCATTAATAACTGGCTGCTGATTTTTCTTGCCCTTACAGGCAGCACAGACCTTGTGTGTATAGTTCAGTTGAATGACCCTATGCAGAAGTTTTCCAGCTCTGTAGCCAAAAATGCTGCACATCCCTTTTGGAAGGAAGAGTTTATCTTGTAAGTAACTTACCTACTGAGAATACTTTTACACTAAAGCACCTTTTTTTCCTTGAACTGTGTGAGAGACGAGTGGCATTTTGAAATAGCTCCATCTTGGACTTTCTCTGTGTGGCCTCAGAGAAATCTGGAGCTGGTGGGGACTTCAGGAGATCTAATTACCCTCTGCATGGATATGAGATACAGGTCTCTAGGTGTCCATGGCAGAGACATGATTCTAGTAAATGACAGCAGTCACAGGCATAATAAATCACCTCATGCTTTCCTACAGTGCCAGAAAAGAAGTGTTAGCACTTCTTTTAGGTCGCAAAGGTTTAGCTGCCTAAAAGCTAGCAAGATTTTGCTAGGTCTTACTACGTTTTGTTAGCAAGGTTTTGAGGTCACTTTACTGTGAAAACTGCATTTGAGGGAATCTAATGTCTCTCCATTCTCTCCCCTGAGTGGGAAAAACAAATGTGCAAATACAATTGAGCATCTAAAAGAATGGTGGCCATGATTAAAAAGGGAGTGTAAAACTTAACTAGATTTTCTTACTCCTGTAGAACAAAAAAAGGGACTTTCAGGCAGCCTACACAGTATTCTGTGATTCACACAGCTGTAATAAATAAGGTCAACGTAAAACTATTTTTATTTTCACTTTCAGAGCAAAAATGGCTTCTGAGGTGCATGAGTTTAGGAAAGGAGTGACTCAGTGATGAACTTTGTTTTCTGAAGTATCACAAAGTGCTTCAGCCAGTGGGTCTGTGATTCACTTCAGCCATCTGTTGGTGGAACAGCACCCCTGCTCAGGGCTGCAGAGCAGACAAGTTCCCAGCAGTTTGGGACAGGAAGTTTGTAAGAATAATACCCTTTTCCAACTGAAATAGCTGAGAGAGGGCAGGCAGGATGTGATTAACTTGGCTGGAATTTGGCCTTGACACTAGGAATAATGCTGGGGTTTCCACACTGCTTTTCAGAAGTGCATGAGGTAAGCCTGGGGGCTTTTACAGATAAATGATTAGGATTTTGGCAGGGGTTTTTGAACTTCTTTCAAGTTCCCACACACAAACCTCTGCACTTTTCTTTCTTCAGAGCCAAAAATATCCTCCACTCTGAACACCACTGTACTCACCACCATGCCAGACTCTGCTTTAGCTTCATGGTAGAGCAGCAGTAATGCCACCAAGGTGCTGCTTTCCAAGTTTTGGGGTGCAGGAAGGGTGGGAGTGGCAGGGAAAAACTTAAAATCTGCAGCATAGATAATGTGCCACAGCATCTAATGGAGGTGGGGTGTCTGCAGCCAGGATCACACCATCCTGAAACAGGGACATGGCAAAATGAAATACATGTTTGCATGCCCTGAGGGTTTCTGGCAGAATGTGCCTGCTGAGAAGGGTGCAAAATAAAGTTTTACTGGAGGGTTCCTCAGCAGGCACCCAGTTTGCTCCACTGTGTCAGTCAGAGGAAAGGTTTTGTATCTGTTGTCTAGTCCATCTTAGGAAGTACCACATGTGTAATTTGTAATTCTGAGAATAGTTCACCTGGGTTTTGTCACACAGAAACTCCTCTTGTTGGCTTGTTGAGTCTTGTTTTGGAAAAGTGATACTGACTCTTGTCATTTAAAGCTGTAACTACTTTTGTTTTCTGGCATGTATCCTGTTTTAGACAGGGATGTTGATTGAGCCTGTTCAGCATCCTGACTTACAAATTTGATCCTGCCAGGAGAAAGAAAGCTTTTTGGTGTTGTGGTGTAGCAGTCAGACCAGGAACCATCTTCAGCTTGGAGGGCAGTGGTTGTCAGCTCCTGGGAAGAAGAAAATCCTCTGAAATTCAACAAATTGAACCTGTGCAAAAGGGGAGGAGGCACCCAGGCCATGTTTTTTTACTGTGATCCCTTCAGTCACTCTTACCCACCTGCAAGGTGCAGTGTTTGCCTTGGAGGGGGCTGAGAAAAGCTGGGGAAAGGGGAAAACCTGCATGGGAAGGAAAATCTGCTTGGGCTGCAAAGACCTAACGTGGTTTTGTTTCCTTCACAGTGAACTAAGTGCCAAATCAAAAACGTTGCAACTGCAAATAGTAGAAGATGGAAAGTTGGATAGTGAGTATTTAAGACTGAGCTATTTTGCATGATCAGCGTGTGAGCTTTGCTGAGTGTTGGCAGAAGTCCCCTTTTATTTCTGGGTGGCCACAGAAACTGTGAGATCTGTCAGAACTCATGGGTGGAAGGAAAATACACTGACCAGGTGCCTGGGTTAAGGTTAACAGAGAATATTTGAGTTTCTTTCTCAACGTAGTAAACATTCTGACTCTTCCAGGTGCTGATATCCTGTATTTTTCCATCTTTTAAACACCTAACAGATCCACTGTGACCCTTTCTGGTTTCAAGTTAAGCTTTTGAGTTTTTTCTGTGGCTGAAGGGGAATCATGGGGGTTAATTGTAAATCCTTCCTTTTCAAGTCCCAGAGAGTGCCTAACAATTCAGGTATGAAAATCACAATCAGGTGTAAAACACTCCTAGTCTGATTATGTTGGATTAAATATAAAACAGGGGGGCTCAAACATTTTTACAACTCAATTCTGTTGTTTCAGAATTATTTTTACTAATCTAGATATACAAAATTGTGCAATACCTTGTTTATGATACATAATTATTGGAGGGATAGGAAACTCAAAAGCTTTAAAAAATTTCTGATGTTGATGCTATTTTTAATTTTTAAAAGAATATGTATGTGGAGTCAGCAAACTAATGTTTTTCTTGGACAAAATGTAGTCTTAACTGTACCTAAGCATCTTTAGTCCTTCAGATGATAGGAAACTCAAAAGCTTTAAAAAATTTCTGATGTTGATGCTATTTTTTATTTTTAAAAGAGTGTGTATGTGGAGTCAGCAAATGTTTTTCTTGGACAAAACGTAGTGTTGACTGTACCTAAGCATCTTTAGTCTTTCAACAACACCAGGAATGTTCTGCATTCTAACTTTCAGCCTGGTTTCCTGAAGAAAAAGGTCCCAGTGGATTGCACTGACAATTCTCTTCCTCCCCCTCTTCCCCTCCCTACCTGCTGAGCTGTTCTTCTCCAAAACACTTCAGTAGAAGACTCAAAGTAAATTAATGAGCAGAGTGCTGAGTTATGTGAATATAGTGTAGACCCCTACTTGTATAATGCAGGTATAGCAAGAGTTTATTACACCTGTTCAAACTGTAAGTGTTTGAGAAAATTGTTTAATACAAATTCTCAGCACATGTTCTGTGGTAACCTGACCCCAGAAGGCCAGTGAAGTGTAGGAATTTATTGTTTTTAAACATTCTGCTTTGCACAGAAAAATAGGATTTCATCTCTGAAATCATGCTGTACCTTGGCTAATAATTTGTTGGGGTCTAGTGGAGCTGATAAAGTCAGGGGAGGAACAAGAGAATTGCTGAAGTTTTACTAAAGTTCAAATTAAACACTATTTTTGTGATATACCAATTAACCAGGACTCCAGATTGCCCTCTGAAATGAAAGATGCAGAAACTGGTTATGGAGATTGTCCAAGAACCTAACAGTTGTTTCCTTTTTCCCCTAGACATTCTGCATATAAAGGGGAAAATTATGGCCAGAAACAACAGTAAATAAGTAATATTTCATGGTTCCATTCTTTCCTCTTTCACAGTATTAGCCCAGGCTGAGGAATAGTCATAAAATGCCAAAAAAGCTGTAAAATGCCACTTCTCTGCCCCGTGGCGTAGAACCAGTTACTGCGATTTTTTCACCTGAATTTTTCTCCTCCCTTCCTGTATTCTCTCCCTTACACGTCCTGGCAGCTTAGATCTGGGCTGACCTTGCTGACTTTGTCCTTGCAGGTCCTTTATCCGGGCAGGTGACTGTCCCTCTGGACCTGTTCAGGAAGCAGCCCTGCGGCCAGCACAGCTTTGCACTGAGCAGCTCGGAGCCAGGGCCGGGGCTGGGCTCCGTCACTGCAGAGGTACTGCTGGCCCTGGGGCTTTGGGGGGCATCCATTCCTTCAGGAACTGCTTGGGCTTGTGGCTGAGTCAGAGCAGCCTGTTCTGATTGCAGGGTGTTTGTGTCTTAACGGGATTTTGGAAGGAATTGGGAGATGGGATCTCTGAGTTGTTTTAGATGGTGGGGTTTATTTTTCTTGTCTTCTGCATAGACAGGAAGGGTGAGTTTGGCTCACATCTTTACTGCATGGTTCAGAAGGTCACAAGACCTCTACTTACAAGACCTTTTAAGGATTTTTTGACCAATAAAACACTGCCAACAAGGATATTTATGTTTTTGACCCAAACCTTAAATATTTTGTCTTATGGACTCACGCTACAGTGTGAGCTTTCTTAGCCAGTCATGTTATGAGACACAAACCTACAGTGCTGCATTCTAAACTTCTTGTTTACCTTTGTAGCTACTTTTATTTTTTCTATATCTTAAACTCTAAAACTCTAAACTTTCCTCTTCTTAACTTAATTTGTCTCTGCTTTAAACTATAAATCCACATTCTCCCTTCCAGCACCTCAGTTTGGGAACCTTTTCCAAGGCCTCAGATCAAAGCCTGGGTTTAATTCTAAGCTTTGGTTTCCAGGCCCAAAGTTCTGAGAGTTCCCTGCATTTCAGATTCCAACAGTGTCTCATTGAAAGAATTAACTCTTGAATTTGGCTCAGCAAAACCTAAAAGGAGTACCAGCTAGAAATAGAGTCCTTCCTGCCTGACTGTGCTTCTGAGGTGGTGTTTTTTTGTCTCCTTAGTTCTCTTTTATAGAGCCCAGTGAGCTGAAGGCAAGGCAGGTCTCCTCTCCAGTGCTGGCCACCAAGATCGAGAAGGACCGCACTGTGATGCCCTGTGGGACTGTGGTCACCACAGTCACTGCTGTGAGAACCAAACCTCGTCTGGAGGGGAGATCCTCCCCCCTGAGCACAGGTCAGCTTCTCCACACCTTCCTGTGTTCCTCCACGGGCACCAGGAGAAGCACTGGGACTGGGATGTCAGGGAAGCACCAGTTCCAGAGTTCTCTGATGTGTTGGAGTGGGGTTGTTGTTCGTATTCTCCAGAATTAGAATTGTAATTTTCACCAAAACTTGTTTCTTACAAGAGAAGCAGTTAATATTTTTTTCATTCTGTAAATCTTCACCATGGTGTGATAATGTAGAAGGGCTGGAGTTTGGAGGATGGTTTTTCACGTGGCAAATATATCAGAGGTTTGCAGATAACAAACCATCCTGTGCCTTCTAACCCTGATCTGCTTTAGCATCTCTGATGAAGCTTGGTGCTACCTGGTGACAGAATACTTTTCAGCATGTCCTCCAGGAGCAGATTTTCCAGTTTTTCTTGGGAAAATTATAAAAGTACAACCTGTGAACAGTATTTATGTGAAGCATCATGAAGATCTGTGTTCTTTCAAGTTGTTAAAGCAAATCTTTTATTTAAGTGGGTGTTGTCTAATGTGTTACAGTAGAATGTTTAAAAACATTCTTCAATGTTTTAAACATTTAAAATTTTTTTTAAAAATTCTCACACTTCACTGGCCTTTTAGGGTCAGGTTTACCAGAGAACATATGTTGAGAATTTCTGGTAAACAATTTTCTCAAGCACGATTTGAACAGGCATAACTGTTCAGGTTGTAATAAATTCTTATTAACACGATGAAAAATGTCTTGACCAGTTCAAATAACCAAAACACTTGGTCCTCAGATTCTCCTGTGAAAACTCCAGTTAAAGTAAAGGTGACTGAAAAGGATTTCATTGTTGAAGCCCTCCATTCTCATGGTGCTCCAGTCAGCAAAACTTTGTCATCTTCAGATACAGGTAATAAAAATGTTTGGTGCTGCTAAGGAGAACATTTCTCTGGTCTGCATGTGGAATTAATGTGATCCTGTTAAAATGACAGCCAGCCCATGTGGCTGCTGCCTGTCAGCAGCACTGGGGTGTTTTTGTCACAAAGCACTGTGGTTTGGGGTATGGCAGCCTTGAAATAAAAGTCTGGTTTTAATTGGCAATTTAAATTACTGGTTTTGAAGAAATAACAATGAGCTGTGGTTTGGAGAGGGGAGGAGGCTGCAGAGAAGCCAAAAGTCTGTTCTCTTACTTTTGAATGAAAGATGCCTCCTTTTGTAAAGGCATGGAGGATGCTGCACTAAATTAAAACCCTGTGACATGCACCTCTAAATCCCCTGTGTCTGAAGAGAAGGCAGAGGCTAGATTGAAGACTCAAGTCTTTTCCAAGCCCTGCCACTGAGCTTTTTTGGCCTTGCTGTGCCCATTTTTCCACCTTCCTAAGCCACCTGGATACAGCTGAAATTCCTCCAGTGTCACGGAGACATTGATATAATTATACATTCACTTTGAATTGTATATGAACCTGATTTTGTCTCTGGGGAATTTACCTTTTCAAGTTGCAGCTCTAAATCTTGAGCACATTTTTCAGTCCTGTGTGTGGTCACCACTGAACCTTTCAGTGGCTCTGTGGGCAGGAGCAGTGACAGATGTGACCCAGTGTGGCTGCCAGTGGCTCCTGCTGTGGAGTTCAGTTGGCTTTGTACAGATCTGAGTGGGGAATGGACAGCCTGGAGATGATCTGGGCTGCTCCTGGCACAGTCAGGAGCTTTCTGAGAGACAGAAATGTATTGGCCAACAAATGTGGGGAAGGGCAAGAAGCAGTAAGCATGAATAGCTGTAAGAGCACTTGGATCTTTTCCTATCTCTAGGGTAAGAAATACTCTGACACCGTGAAGCAGTGTGGTATTACTACATCAATTTGGGAAATGTTAAGTGCAAGACTTCTGAGTTGACTCTCTGAAGTGTTTATGATATTAAAGACACAAAATACTTACTGGAAAATTCACCTGAAGACAGCTTATTCCATATTGTTATGGACAGTGTTTTTATTGGGGGGATTTCTGTGAACTGTTGATACAGTATTGCAGGAAGAATTACTCATTCAAACTAAAGCCAAATGAAAGAAATACAAAAGAGCTTTTGGGTATGGCAGTAACTTAGGTAAAAGTTATTACAAACATCCTGGCAAAATAGCAGCAAGCACTCTGGAAAAGGTGCTGTGTGTGTGCCATAGTTCTGAGTGATGGCAATAATAAGAATTAATGCAGGGGCTGGGGAGATGGAAAAAGTTAAGGTTTGTGATGAGTGTGCAGACATAGACACATATTTTTAATCCTAGGCCTCATCTTTTCTTATATTACTGTCGCAGTAACAAAAGGCACTGCTCAATTTAGTTAACACTGGTGCTATTCCTGCCTCTGTTCTTTTTGTTTTTGTTAAAACTCTTGCCAGAAAAGTCCACCTCAGGCAATTAAACATGGGGATTTTTGTCTTGTTGACTTCCTTAGCCTTGTTTGTTCCTGAGCTTGATGAATTTGATTAATGTGTGTTCGTGTCCTAGATGCCAGAAAGGGCCGTGCTTAAAAATAAACTTGTGTTTGTCAGTAAAGAGCATTTTATACAGAAGATTTTATATTCCTCTGCAGTGGTTGGAGGGCAAAAATCACTGCACAGGATTTGGAGGCAGCTACTTTGCCTTCCCCACCCTATCACAGTGCCATAGCAAAACTGGAAATGCTGGTCAGGGAGATCTGGAAAAGGGGCAAAATAACAAAAAAGCCACCTGAGGAAGTAGCATTATGTGCCAGCCTTGTACTGTGTTAGAACTATGGTTCTTCATGACTGGCATAATTCATGATGTCCCTACTGTCAGCACAGGGTAGCAGTGCATTGAAATAATGGGGTGCTTTGTCCAGGCTTCCAGAACCTCCTTTATTCTCGTGGAAAGGGTTTGTAAGTTACATTTTGGTACCTTTTCTCCAAAAATGGGTGACAGGAGGGAAAGACAGCTGGGTGGTGAATTGTTAAGTTTATGGCGTTGATGCCATTTCTGTGAATTTTAAATCCAGGACGAACTCTGCCTGTGTCTGCTCTGTTTTTTTCCTGTTTCCTTCCCCCTCTGAAATGCTCCTTTCTTTGCAGAGCTGCTGGTACTGAACGGCACAGACCCCGTGGCAGAAGCAGCCATTCGGCAGCTGAGCCAGTCTGCGAGGCAGAAGCTGAAGTCCCCTCGGAAGAAAAGCACCATTATCATATCAGGGGTGTCCAAGGTAGAGCAGAAAACAGCACTTAGAGTTCTGGAAAGCCTTTTCTGCACTGACTGCAGCCTTAACAGGGCTCCTGTGTCCCTGCAGAGTCCAGTTTTGTGTGCCAGGTTATTTCTGTGACTGTTTCAAGTTCAGCCAAATCAGGGTGTTGTGTTCTGATTGTTAGGTTGGAGAGCCTGACTAAAATGCACTTTGTCCTTGGATAGGAGTGGTTTTAGGGATTTGGGAAAATCAGTTTAGGTGAGAAGAGAGGATACATAAAAAATATGTATATAAAACAACAAGGTATTGTAAGAAGACAAAGGTAATTTCATATTAAAGGTAAGAGCTGAAACAGACACACAGGCAACCAGGGATGTTTTCACTCTAAATGCCAAGTCTAGCCCATGAATGTAAGGAAATACATGTGTGTGTGTATATATATATATGTATTTATTTATATTAAATAACACTTTTAATTTTGAAACATTAATATACCACAGAGATTTTCAGCAATCCAGTGCCAATCTGGATTATGCCACAGTGCCACATGTTATGTTTAGCTGCATAGTTTTGGGCCTTTTTTTAAAGTAAAATAATTTAGCTCTCTCATGTAGAGAAGAGGCACTGAAAAAGTATGGAAAATTTTTATACTTTTTTTCAAAGCTGTTAAAACCCTCTGAAAAATCTCTTGTTCTCTGGTCTCTGTTCCAGAGGGAGGGCAAATAATGAGACAAGATGAAATGCTGTGATGTTAATTTTCTTAGAAGGACCAAAAGATTCTCTGTGTATGCTGACACTTCATTACAGCAGCACATATGGGGGGGTCCTGTTATTTGTAGTGGGGCCAGGGATAGGTGGAAGGCATTTCCTTAATTGATTTTTTCACTCATTTGGCCTTTGCAACATCATTAAAACTTAGCTAAGTGCTCCTCTCCTTTAGTAGAGCTAAGGAAGCTTCAGGTGGCTTGCTGATGGTCCTGAGCAATACAAGTACAAGTGTGAAGAGTTCAAATAACTCTTGCAGGGAGGTTTGTTTTTCTCCAGCAGGATGACTTGTGTCCGTGTTGTTTTATATTTCCACTGGGCAGACCTCTTTATCTCAGGACAGTGAAGCTGCACTGATGATGGACTATGCTGCAGCCATGGACAGCTCCTGCAGGGAAGCAGATCCACCCTCTGTGGAGGAAGCTGTTGCAGAAATCACCTCTGACAAAAAGCAGTCACTGGATGCTTCAGAAAGAGTCCCTGGCAGCGACCCACAGCAGAGCACCCACAAGGCCTGGGCTTTGGAGAATGGCAGCCAGCAGTGGGACACCAGCACACTCTTAGACCAGACCTCTGAAGAAATATCTGGGAGCTCATTAAGTGTTTCAGAAACTGGGAGCATGAAAAAATCTAAAGGTATATGATCCTCACTTCCACTTCAGCGACTGCTTTCTCTGTGTAATTGGCTGCAGTAGTTCATCCTTTCTTATTGATTTTTTTTGTCCTTCAAACTCCTTGTGATTGTGGTGTTGGTTGAAGCTGTTCTACTTGCAGCTCTCTTAGCCAGCTCAGGCTTTCTTACCCTCCCCTCCATGAGGAAACAGCTCACCCTTAGAAGCTGGCAGCTCATTACACCCAACTCAGTTATTTGGGAGAGACATCACTAGGCACATTATCAATTCTTCAAGGAAAACTGTGTCCTTCTAACCAAGGACTTCTCCTGTATTGCCAGCCCAATTACCAGGGTGAAGATGGCAGGGATCCACTCTTGCTTTCCAATCTATCCCCCTTCACCTGTCTGAGCACAAGGCTGCCCTCACTAAAGTGTGTTTAGGGAAGCACCACAGCTGAAGCAGAAACTGCCTGCTGAAGAGATTCCCCCTTTTCACTCATTTCATTAATGCATCATTTGCTAAAGAAAATGGAATAAAAGTTAATTTAATAAATAAATAAATAAGGTATCACATCATTTTGCTTAGGTAGTTACAAACCTGAATAGCTGCAGTTTGAAAATGTCTTAGGGTTGTTTGTGTTTCCTTGGTAAATCCAGTAACCTCTGAGCACTGGTTTGTGGTAAACACAGGGACTATTAGGAAGTCTTACAAAAGGGTCAGTGCAGTGGACTGTGCCCCAAACAGGCACACAGGTTGCACCTTAAAGTTGCAAAAAATACTGTGCTTTTCACTCATATCCATCCCTCTCTGCTTTATTATTTTCTATCCTCACCCAGAGACCCTGGGAAATGGCTCACTACAAAAGCTCCCTATTTTACTGGATTTTCACCCCCCTCACCCAAGGGCAGACACTGGAGCTCTTTGTCAGGACCCTCCCTTGGAGCATGGAGCTCTCTGGCCTTCCCACAGCTGGACTGCTCCACATGAGAGATCAGGAGGGAACAGCAACAATCCCTGTCACACACATGCCCAGGCACTGGAAAGCCTTGGGTGTGTTTAGGGTGTGGGGAGTGGGTTAGTTGTCAAGGGATTTGGCTCATTTTGGAGCCTGGAAAAGTTTAGGAAGCTGTGTGAGAAACTGCAAAACCTCTGGACTCTTCTTCAACATGTTATTCTAAAGCAGGCAAGTGGAAGTTTGTATGTGAGTTGTTGTCTCGTTTTGGGTTTCCCTGTGCAAAGAGATGAGGCTTCTTGGGATCCTTTTCACACAATTCAGTATAAGTCTGCTAAAAACTGCAAAATATCTCTGAGAGAGTTGTATCATCTTGAAAAAATACTTGAAAAAAACTGGCTCAAATCCCTTTCATTATACACAGATGTCTTTGTGGAAGTCTTGAATCTCTGCTTTGTCACAGCTGAGTAGCTTTTATGGAGTAAGATGGGAAAACATTTCAGCCCCCCTGCCTTCAGTGAGCTGTGAATAGTTCAAGGCTTCTGTTTGTCAAATGCTTTCCCTTAAAAAAACAAACAACAAAAAAACCCACCACAAATAAAACCGCAAATGCAACAACAAAAAAAGCCAAACAAGGCCAAAAACCCAAACAAAACCCCTTCTGCTTTGAAAAGCCTTTTGTGTGTGTTAATGTCTTAAAGCTAGCACTTTTTTTTACTCTTGCATATTTTTGTTTGTTTGTTTTTTTACCTTTCTGACTTCCTCTTTCTTACCCGTTCCCTTTTATAAACTTAAGATGACTGCTATGCCATCCAGAATTAATTACCTACACAGTAAGTTATTTTTGTCTCTTTTTTTTATCCCTAAGAAAATGTAGCTTTACAATGAGACACTCATTGTAAAAACTGAAGCGAAAATTAGTTTGACACCCATTTTTCTTCTTCCCCTATCCATTCCTTTTCTCCTTCCAAAATTACCTTCCTGTGCTCAGGTGTCTTAGCAGACCAGTCTGCTGTGACAAATCATCTTTCTGGTGGTTGTGCTGTCCAGGAGGGTCACACAGAGAGGGCAGCAGGGAAGGTTTGGAGAGATGCTCTACATCAATCAAAATCTGCTCATGCAAACCATGTGTGACCCCATAACTGGATATACATACAAACAAAACTTACTTCAAAACCTGCTGCTTATAGATTTTTAGATAATGCTTTTCTAGCCTAATTTACAGAGCTACCACAATCTCAGCAGTTATTTACAAAATCAGCAGTTTTTTACAAAACCACCTGTATGAAAACTGTTTTGGAAGTTGGGAAGGAATGGAAAGCAATCTCTGTTGGTATCCTTGTAGATGTGGAAGGAAATCTTCCTCCATTAGCACAAATGAAATTCAGAAGTGACCAGCATTTTGAGAACACCCTACATCAGTGCAATGAGTTCATACAGTGCTCCCTGCTCATCTCCTGGTGCTGGGGGCAGGGCTGCCACATGGATCCTGTTGAGCTGGAGGAATAAGCATGCAAACAGCACATAAACCAGCAAATGAACCAGCACATAAACCAGCACGAGCACTGCCAGGCTGCTGCCCTGCCCTGCCCTGCCTCTCCCAGGGCTGCATGTCTGCACAGCAGCCAGAGCCACTGCCAGGCAGCATGCTCCAAGCTGGCTGCACTGCTGGGCATGTGGCAAGCTTCCAGGCAGCAGAGGCTGAACGCCAGGGAGCTCTTGTGTCAGGGCTGCTGCTTGTGCTGAGCCTGTGCTGCTCTCAGGGAAGTGCTGCCCATGGATTTTCAGCTGCAGGGAGTTGTCCCAGGCCACCGGCACAATTTTTGGAGCGTTGTTAATTGGGTGCTGTTTCCTGGTGTAGAAAATCAGTCTGGTTGACAGAATGGATGGGACTAAAAATCTGCTTAGGGATAAACCCTTGTGTCCTAGTGCTGCTGCCAGGGCTGCTGGGCAGAGCAGCTGCATGCTCAAACAGGAGCTGCACAGCAGCGAGGCCTCTGCACATCAGCAGCTGTCACTGTCCTGGGGTGCAACACTGCTGCTTTTGTGCTGCTGCTGACAGCTTGAAGTGATACTGCCTTGGCAGAAAAATCAGTCAGAGGCTGATGGGAGAGCAGTCAAGATTCAAATCCACGAGTTCTGGTTGCTTTCAGCTGATTTCTGCTTCCCATCCCATTGTGCTCTGTGAGGAGAGTCTGAGCAGCTGCCAGAAAAAAGCCATGCTTGAATATCCTCCCAGGTGCTGAGTGCTCAGCCCTTAAAGTACACAGTAATAAACACAAGTACACTTTTATGACTGCTTTGGTGTGCACAAAGCAGCATCTGGCTGCCTTGAAATACCTGTTCTGCATCTGTCACTGTGTGCAAAGTGACACAGAGGCCTTGGCAGGTCCTCGGGGGACAAACATTTAATTCTAGCTGTGGCGGTGTCCCGTGAAAGAACTGCCCTGTGTTGCTTTTTGTGTCCATTTGCAGTGGGAGGAAAAGCAGAATCAAGACCATGGCATGACAGGAATTAATAGCTGAACTGAGAAAGGATCAGGAAACCTGATAGTGGTGCAGGGAGGGGGTGTGGAAGCTCTGCCAGGGAGGTGACTGTCCCCACATCCAAGTCTGACTGCCAGAAGCTCCTGTGCTGGCTTGTCACCTGGGTCCTCCTCTGCTCAAACGGGCTCTTGCCACCTGGGACAGCAATTCCATACAAAACTGATGCTATTTTAACACAGAGCTGATGTCCCAGCCAGGCTGAGTGTTGCTGGTAGCCTGGAGCAGTGTCCCTGCCAGCTGCACACCAGGCACACATGGAGAGGGAGGCTGGAATTTGGCAGAATGGCTGCAAAAACAACCCAAGCTTGCAAGGAGAGGAGTAGTGATAGCTGCTGTTGGCAGCATGAGTCCCTGGTGAGATGACAGCTGCAATTGCCTTGGCTGCATGCTGGGTTTGACAGGAGGTCAAGGGAAGGAACACGACAAAATAAAGCAACTTAATTTACCACAGGAAGGATTTGGGCAGACTTCTGAACCTGTTGGAAGCAGATGTAATATTATTTTTAATCTGCTTGAAGTGCATTGCTATTCCTAACAGGGTTTTAGAATAGCAAATGCTTTGTGAGTGTTACTCTGGGTGGTGCTGCTGAATTTGTATAGAACACCTGCTGCCTGGCTTGCAGAACCACTGCACATATGTTTACTGCCAGGTACTGTTGTCCTGCACTTCAAATTAAAATTTGCTTCACGTGGTGCCTCACAGGCTGATCTTCACCTCCTTTGATCTCTGAAACAACAAAGAGTAACATTATTTCCTCTCTTTCATTCTTTTTATAAAATCCTTTCTACTTCACTGGTTGGAAAGATTGGATGTGCCTCTGTGACACGTGAGAGCCCAGGGTACAACCCGCCCCAGCCTGTGCATGTGTGTGTGCTCCAGAGGAGCATTAGGTGCTAAGTGTAAGGAGGGAGCCTTAAATCAGAGGATCAGCTTTTCCCACTCGTGCTGCAGTTAAAGCTGAGTTTCAAGAGGACAGCAGCCTGTTCTGTCTAAAGTGTCCTGCCCCTTTTTCCCTGCACAGGTGGGATTTTGAAGAAGAGCGCGAAGCTGTTTTTCCGCCGGCAGCACCACCAGAAGGACCCGGGCATGAGCCAGTCCCACAACGACCTGGTGTTCCTGCAGCAGCCTCTGTCTGAGGAGAGCCGCAAGAAGGGAGGGACACTCTCACGAATTCTGAGCAAGAAGCTCCTTTCCAGGAACAAGAGCAGGAGCAAACTGAATGGGGCTTCGGGAGAGCCATACCTATGAAGCCAAACCCTCTCCGATGGCATTCCTGCTCACCAGTTGAGCACTTGTTTACAGAGCAGTACTAGAGAATACAGATATGGCTGATGACTTGCATAAAAGGATGTTCACTGTTAACAGTGGTCTTTTTGGTTTATTTTTCCAAAACGCTTTTTCTCTCTGATGGTGAAGTCACTTCCTCTAAATACGAGCAGTGCTGAATGTGTCCAGCTTTTGGAGGAGTGTGTGGTTTCTTCTGGAAGAGGAGGGAGGATGAGCAATGGTGCAGGTGGGGACCAAGAAGCCACTTGATGTCCTGGGGTGCACTGGGAAGAGCATTTCCAGCAGGTAATGCCCCTGTGCCCAGCCCTGGGTGATCTGTAGGGAGCACCCAAACGTGATCACAGGATTTACATCAACAGAGAGCTCTGGACTGAAACACCCAGTTCATGTGGCTGAACCTCTACAGAGAGAGAAAACACCACTGTGCTCCCTCACTGCAACAGTAGCAACTGATTTTTCTAGTCTGACTGAAAGGGGGGAAAAAAGAGGCCCAGATCCAGTTTGTGCTGTAATTTGGAAGCGGGTGAGTGTTCAGAAGCAGAAGGAAAATGCTGACTCAGACACCCTACTATAATATAATAACTGTAGCCTGCTATAATCACTGCTCAGCCCGTGGAGGTGGAGAGATGCCTTTGACATTAGCCATTAATCAATAAATTATGCAAATACCAATACTAGCATATTGTTCAATGCTCTGCTTAAAAAGAAGTTATGCTTTAAAACACAGAACTTGGGTGGGTTTTTTTTAAATCTACTTGAAGCTACACGCAAACAATTTGTAAAATCTTACATGTAGCTTTTCTTCCCTGTGTGAGCTGTACTCCTGAAGCAAAAACTCATCTTAGGGGCTCTAATTCCTTCTCCCACGTGCTTGTTAGACAAGTAGATAAACCATCATATCAAATGCAAAGCTAGGAGCAGTAAATGGTGAGTAGAGCATAGTTAACCCTACAGTGCTTTTCATTGGAAAGCTTGTCTTACTTGCCAAACACTTACTGAGATCTTAAAATATACAGTTGTGAAGGAAGCTTTTGAAAAAATATGAATTCCCTTAGTTCAGTTTATAGATCTACCAGTGTTGTCATGTGCTGAGTAGTTGGTCAGGTGAGTTTTTTAACCTTTTTTCCTTGCTAAATATTGCAGCTGGCTCCTTTAGTTTAAAATGAAAAACTGATGGGAGCAAAGGCATAATTCTCATTTTGGCTATGAAGGAAGAGTAAAATGTCAGTATTTCACAGGTACCATCTTTCATGCTTTACCTGTATTTTTCCATCATCTGTCTTCCTGCTGAGGACAAAGGACCAAGCCTGTTCTCTTTAGCCAAGAAAATCATCATTCATTCCAACTAAATTACTGACCTGAATGGACGATAGACCTCGTGCCTACTTTGCCAACAGTGATTTTTCCCCTGGCCCCTTTCCTCCCTTTAAGCTGTCCAACACTTTGGCAGATATTTGGGCTTTCAATTTAAAGCATTCATCAAAAATAGAAAGTTACTGAAGAATAGAAACACATTTCAAATTTCTGACGGACTCAAGGTTCCCTGGTAAATCAATATCAAAGTAGAAGGAGTTTTAATTTCTTTTTTATCAAGAAAATATTAGAACTGAATGGTCAAAATCTTTTAACTGTTTAAAAATACTGTTTATGTGTAACCTCCTGAGATCACTGTGGTGGAACAGTAGACCAGACTATCAAATAGTTGTACGTTTAAGCATGCTGCTTGTTATGAAAACACTTGAAGGCATTTTAATGTTCTTTATTTTGAAAATTGGGTACAAATTAATCTTCTGGAGCTTTATTGTGCTTGGAAATCCCAGTTCAGTAATACAGGTTTCACCAGCCTGAATGTGCCTGAACAGTTTTGTTTATTTCTAATTTAATACAAACTAGAAATTTTGTTTCTTCATTTGTTCTACAGTGGTTCATGGTGTGAGCATTAAAACCCCTGATGTCATGTTCCCTCAACAGACACTTTTTCACTTGATTTTACCAGGAACTTTCTGTGTTATGGGAAGAGTGGGCATCAAGTCCCTGCCATTTTTAAATGCTCAGTCTTTGTTGCTGAAAGATAAAACCACAACTGTTCCTTAAATTCAAGAAATCTGAATGAAACTGAGCTCCACGGGTAGCACATCCATACCCTAAAAACAAAGAGCTGTGGAATGTGGAGGCAGCACATAACATTACTTGAAGTCTTCTTAAATTACTGAGCTGGGATTTTAATTTACAGAAGCTTTAGCATGTACTGTAGAACAGAGTGAAGTAACACTGAGTAACTTGCAGGACACAGCACCGGGATTTGTTTGTAATTTACCCCAGAGAATGGATACACATGAAAAAAGTGGTTCATCTTAAGGTTTTGATGATCACTTGAATGCTTGTCTCAATGGTGGGAATGAAGGACATTCTTTGCTGCAAACTGTGTGAGGGTTTGGGCTCACATGTGTTAAGAGAGAATGAATTCTCCAGATAAGGAGAGCAAGGCATTTGGTGTAAAAAGGGTATCTGGTTTTTTATTTGCCTTCACTCCTCAGGAAAATAAACACTGTTTGGTTTGATGTTGGATCTCTGTATCTGGCGGGTGTGTTCCTCACCTCTTCTTACTCCTTTGCAAATAATTTATGTCCTGCTGTAAAAACAAGCTAAGGCACTAAACACAAGGGGACGACTGAGGTGTGACAACCCCAAAGACCCACAATAATGAATCCCATCCCCTCCTTGGGTTGTCATTTAAGATCAGGAGATTTGAGGATATACATTTCTTGTGTATTTGGGTCAGTGTGAGCTGCATCCTCACAACCTGCAGGATCCACGCTGCAGTTTTGGGTCAGAAAGAGTGAATTTGTCAACTGGCACAAATAACACCGCGATGCGTCCTGTGCAGTTTTTGTTTTACAAAACACCTTCTGTGTCTTGTAATTTGATCCAATGTTCAAATGTCTAGTTATTAAAATCACAAAGAATTTTAATAACTACCCACTTGAACAGTAGATAAAATCTTTACATGATATTATTACATTGAACATTTCTTGTTTACTGCCTTGCAATTTAATGATGTCAGAACAGTAGATTGGAAACAACCTGTGAAATATTCATTCCTTTTGTCCCTTTTCTCACACTTTTGTGTCTCTGGATGTTCTGTATAACAAAGAAAGCATGGGTATTTATTTCATGAGGACTAAGAGATGAAGTCTTGCTTCTCCTTTCTAAAGAATTTTTCTGCCCATACCTGCAACTTCTTAATTTGTGTTTGTAGTTTGTTTTGCTTTATGGTGTTTAAATTTGCCTTGATGGAGACAAGCCCTGTCCTCACCAAGATTTGTCTTAGCTTTAGTGTGAATTTTGACTAAGTAAAGAGTACAAGAATTAAATTACTCTTTGTAGATGAAAGCAATAAAACTACCTAATGTCTCCAATGGGAATACAAGCTAAGTAACTTTCTTAAGTGATTGAGATCTCCTTCAAAGTCACTTTAAAGAGGAGGGGAAGATTTTATCCCTAGGTCACTAGTATTTTATATCCCACTTGACCCAGGAAGAAATTAGAGTAATTTCACTCCTAACCATATATGAAACTTGGGAATCTGAGGCAGAAGGAATGCCAGGGTGGGAAGAAATTCATTTTGAAAGCAAAATACCTTTGCCAAAGTTCTTCAGCTTAATGCACAGGTCATACACTGTGCAGGCATAAATACTGGGTTTTATTCTTACACTTTCTGACAGATTTTCTTTTTCCCTGCTCTTTCTTTGGGAGACAGGCTGGGGCTCCAGGCCATACAGACCTTGTGCTGTCTTGCTCTTGAGAGGACTGGATTTATAGTGCTGCTTTTTTGATGAAACTGGCTGGCAATTACACCAGTTTTGGGGATCAGTGGAATTTTACAGCATTTCCTGGTACTGCATCTTCTTGCTGGTTCTAGGTGTTTTGCAAGTGAAAACTTTCTGCTGTGTATTTCTTGCAGAGTTCTGCTGTTCTTGATGTGCAAAACATCATAGGAAAAAACAAAGTTGAAAGCATAAAATGCTACCAAATGTGGATGGGGAAGCAAAATAAGAATCTTGCTCATGTTTTAACACCTATTTTAGGTCTGGGAGCTCTGGGTGTTGCACAGAGCAAGGTGAGAGCTGCCTGGATTTTTCAGTTGAGTTTATTGCAGGCTTTGATTTGGAGAGCTGAGGTTTGAGAGAAGTGCTTCTAGAATTAACTGTGCCATAGCTCCAGGCTAAGACATTCCTGTTGTGAGTAGGAGCAGCTGACCTCATGCTCTGACCTCAACAGGACCTAAGTGGATTTATTCATGTGTTTAAAGTCAGCATATGCTTCTGCACATTGCTAAGCCTCAGCCTTGGTGACAAACAACTTCAGATTAATTATATAACAAGGGTGATTACTTTAAGTTAAGGGTGAATAATACCACTTCACTCAGGATATCCAAAGTGCTACTATGCAAGGTGCTGGCATGGTGTGAAAATAGCTGGGAAGGATGATCTGAGGTCTTTCCAGTACTATAACTCTGTATTTCCCAATGATGTATTATGCTCTGTATTATTCCAAGTGGGATAAACCATTTTTTTTTTCTAGCATCAACTGTCATAGTCACTTCTTCTGTGGTGTGTTTTTCTTTCTGTGCATACATAAACTCAAGTTGGTGCAATTATAAAATCTATGATGTACAGATTTATTATATCACTACAAAAAACCTAAGAGGATTTTTTTAGAGAAGTAACTCCTGCTGTACATACAATAAAAGCCAATTGTCTCTGTGTGGTGTGCTGTCCTACATACCCAGGTGTAACAGATGGTTTTCTACCCTCCTCCAGTAGTTTGACCTGTTGCTTAACACAGACCATTTACCTGTTTGTTCAGGAGCAGAGTTCTCTCCTGATAATCCCAGCCTATCAGGCAGCCACTTGTTGCTTGAGAAATCACCTGAAACACGGATTGGGCAAGGGATCTAATGGCAGAAGGAATTGTGGAGCTCATTTTGGTTACTCAGTATTTTTTTTTCTCTCAGTTATGTTGTAATATCCTGAATTAAGGGGCAGAGGGGGGGAGTTTTAGGGCCTGGATTCTATGGGGAAGACACCAGTACTAGAATGAGCACAGCCTGGGAATTGGGTTTCCTTGTGATGATTTTATTGAAAAGGTTATATTATAAATCACTGCTGCCACAAAGCCTTACCAGACTGAAGGGAAAAAATCCAACCTCAACATTAAAACTACCACAACAAAAAACCCAACAAAACAAATAAAAGGCATTCATGTGAAAATAGCCACAATAATGGTTTTATTTCCCTTCCAAAGCTGAG